TTTTCTGAGTTCTCCCCCGACAAGGCCCCAGAGCCAACAAGCAGGTGCCGTATCTGAGACTCCCCCAACCTGGCTAACACATTTTGCCCCTGCCCTGAAAATCTCCTGAGACTCTATCCCACCCAAAATACAGGTCCACCCAAAATGTTAATCATGATATTTTATATGAATGACTGGTATTTGCTCATGCTTCACAACTTCCTAAGTTATATCAAACAAGCAACTTCAGGCTTCTGTAAGCCCCTAGCCCCCTCTACTAAGTGGCCCCAAGCCCAGCATTAGCAGCAGCCAGCCTAGATTTACAGCTTGGTTTGGCATGGGAATCTCTAAGCCAGCACAAGTAGCAACCATGTCAGATTGTTTCAAAACTCATGCAGGGTAGTTCTCAGCAGAACATAGGTGGAGGTTGACTTTGGCCTGTACCACCCAGGAAACCCCAGAGCCTGTACACCCAATGGACAACTATAGGCCACATCAGAGCACAACCACACTGCCCCTGCACAGCTGTTCCTCTGTGGAGGATGGAGATAGTGATCACTGGTCACAGCCAGTCCTTGCATCTGACTGGCCTGGGTAAATCCCTTCCATTGATCTCCCAACAGTAATCAAGGCTCAACTACTAGAGGAAGGTATACTCAGCCCAAAGCATGTACCTTGAGTACCAAGCTTGGGTGATAGGGAAGGCTGTGCCACTGGATGCTACAAGACAGCTACTACATTAGGCCACACTACCAAGACAGGGAGTCATAGCAGCTCTACCTAATACATAGAAACAAACACAAGAAGGCTGCCAAAATGAGGAGACAAAGAAGCATGGCCCAAATTAAAGAACAGATCAAAACTCCAGAAAAAAACCTAAACAAAATGGAGATAAGTAATCTATTCAAAACACTGGTTATAAGGATGCTCAGGGATCTTAGTGAGGACCTCAACAGCATAAAAAATACCCAGTCAGAAACAAAGAATACACTAATTGAAATAAAAAATTTACAGGGAAATGACATTAGAATGGATGAAGCAGAGAATCAAATCAATGATTTGGAACATAAGGAAGCAAAAAACAACCAATCAGAACAACAAGAAAAAAACAAATTCCAAAAAATAAGAATAGTGTAAGCACCCTCTGGGACAAGTTCAAAGTGTTCCAACATTTGCATTATAGGGGTGGAAGAAGGAGGGAAAAAAAAGCAAGGAATTGGAACTCTATTTGAAAAAATAATGACAGAAAACTTGACTAACTTGGTGAAGGAAATAGACACACAAATCCAGGAAGCATAGAAAGTCCCAAACAAAATGGATGCAAAGAGGCTTACTCCAAGACACATCATAATCAAAATGCCAGAGGTTAAAGATAAAGAGAGAATCTTTTCTTAAAAAATATTATTTGTTTATTTTTAGAGAGGGGAGAGAGGAGGGATAAAGAGAAGGAGAGAATCATTGATGTGTGGCTGCCTCTCAGAAGCCCCCAACTGGGGACCCAGCCTGCAACCCAGGCATGTGCCCTGACTGGGAATTGAACTAGTGATCCTTCAGCTTGCAGGCTGGGATCCAATCCACTGAGCCACATCAGCCGGGGCAATAAAGAGAGAATCGTAAAAGCAGCAAGAGAAAAGAACTTAGTTACCTACAGGAGAGTTCCCATAAAACTATCAGCTGATTTCTCAAGAGAACTTTGCAGGCTAGAAGGGATTGGTGAGAAATATTCAAAGCCATGAAAAGCAGATACCTACAGCCAAGATTGCTCTACTCAACAAAGATATTATTTAGATCCAAAAGTAGATAAATAGCATCCCTGACAAGAAAAAACTAAAGGAGTTCATCATCAAATGATTATTATGTGAATGGTTATAGGGACATTTAAGAAAAAGATCAAAATTATGAATAATAAAATGGCAAAAATCATAAATCTATCAACAATTGAATCTAAAAAACAAACTAAACAAGAAGAGAGACAGAATCATGGATACAGAGAGTGTTTTGCTGGTTTCCAGTGTGGGGGGAATAGGTGAAGAGGTGAGGGGATTAACAAGTACAATTTAGTAGTTACAGAATAGCCATGTGTACGTAAAGTACAGTATAGGAAATGGAGCAGCTAAAGAACTTGTATATATGACCCATAGACATGAACAATGTTGTGGGGATGGCCTGAGGAAGTGGAGGGTGCTGTGTCGATGGGGACAAAGAAGGAATAATTGGGATAACTCTAATAGCATAATCAATACAATATAATTTTTAAAAAACACCTAAAAAAAGAAACATTGTATTTAGGATAATGACACTTCAGTCCCCTTCACAGTAGGAACCTTGGGATCCCACACAGTTCTCCCAATTGCCATCAGCTGCCCAGTCATATTTTCCTGAATCTCATCAACGATCTAAAATCTCTTCCCTTTTAAAGGTGATTTCAGTCTGGGGAAAAGCCAGAAGTCACAAAGTGCCAAATCTGGGCTATAAGGGTCTGATTCATCTGGGTGATTTGACATTTTACCAAAAAACTCTGCATAAAATGTGAGCAGGTTCATTGTCCAGGGGAAGCTGCCGATCACCAGTTGCCCATAGCTGCAGCCTTCTGAATCATCTAAATAGGTTCCATGCAGGAACGTTCATGCTTAACACAAGATTTGATGCAGGTTGCTGCTCTCCTTGCTCAGTCATTTTGAATGCGACAGCCACACAGTACAAATGCTCACTCAATGGTGTCTACCACCTCCACTGACTAGTACAGTGAAGACATGATCATTTACATGTGCACATTCTAATCCACTCTCCGTGGCTGCCAGGTTACATTAATGTTGCACAAACTGCTCTTGTTATTTTAACAATAGCTGGGCTTTTTCTGAACAGAGCTTGTATATTCACATAATGAATTTGTGTGCACAGACATATGCAAACATATTTAGACACATATGTAATAGAGAACATTACATCTCTCAGATAAAGAATATACATTCTGCCCTGGCTGGTGTGGCTCAGTGGATCGAGTGCTGGCCTGCAAACCAAAGGACCGCCAGTTCAATTCCCAGTCAGGGACATGCCTGGGTTGCAGCCCAGGTCCCCAGTAGGGGCCGTTTGAGAGGCAACCACACTTTGATGTTTCTCTCCCTCTCTCCCTCCCTTTCCCTCTCTAAAAAATAAATTTATAAAATATATTTAAAAATAAGAATATACATTCTTTGAATTATAGAGCATACACAAAATTAGTCGTATATTTGGCCACAGAAACAGCTCTTACAAATTTAAGTCAAAAGATATAAAAATGGGCAAAGGCTATGAATAGACTTTAGAGAATAGCATATCTAGTTAGCCAGCAAATTCATGAAAAAGTGTTAAATTTACTAATAATCAGAGAAATACAAATTAATGTTATGCCACTTTTCACCCATAAGATCTTCCAACATTTAAGAGTAAGCAGATCTTTAAAAGATAGTGCTGAGTGAAAAACTAAACAAATCTATGACAAATACCATATACATAAGTTAGAAATACATGTCTACAACAATCATGTTTAAGGGACAAATACAACAAAAGGATACATATTTGACATTAGAATGTTTTCCTGGAATGATGGGGGATGGGATTGGAAAATGGAGATAATGGAAATAAATGGTAAAATAAATGAACAGTAATATCTATTGCTTGAGGGATGTAGAAGAAAAGGAACCCTTCAATACTGATGATAGAAATATGAAGTATTACAGGCTTCCTGGAAAACAATCTGACAACATATATTAACATATCCTAGAAACAGCAGAATGCTCATCAATAGGGGAATGACTATATAAAGCATCCAAAATGTGAAATATTAGGTAGGCATTGAAGGGGAATTAAAACTGTAATTGATGCTTTAAAGAATTTCACAAGATACTGAGTAAAATAAGGTATAGAAAAATGAGTATAGAATGCTGCCATTTTAGGAGACTATGATCCCCCTCTCACCCTTTAAGTGTATGTGTTAGTATGTGTGTGTCTGTACAAGCTCAGAGAAAAGTATGAAAGAACATACACTAAGTTAGCTTGAAGAATTAAACTAATGAAATGGGGAAAGATAAGAGGGAATGGCAGAGGCAACCAAAAGGAGAAAAGAAAAAATAAGATTGCACTAAAAAAATTCAAGTGAATGACCACATGTTTCATGAATGTAAAATTATGTATATGTGGGAGTATTTGTAGGCAGAAATCAAATACGATTTATGTTTGTTTGTTTAAAGTATGAGTTTCTCAGATAGTTGGAATTTCAAGATACATATATGTATGTCAGTCATACTGGTCTCGGTTGTTGCCTGCTCTGGTAACTCTAAGCATATACAGTCCTGGCACTATGTTTTCTCTATGATGTATGCTATTTGTGGAATCTTGGTGCTTATAGTTCTCTCTAGTCATTTCATTACCTGTATAATTTTTAAAGAAAAATAGTGAAAACAAATTTGATAGATTAACAGATAAAACTTGTCAATTAGTAGGCCTTAGTTTAATGCTTACTTAGGAATATGGGACTGAAATCTTGTGTCTTAGGAACTGGAGAGATGGACTTAGAAAAAACACTTTTTGGGGGGTCTTTAGAATGCATTTTAGTAAATGAAGTGTGCTGAGAAAAAAAGTTAAAAATTATAGCAGTTAAAAATCACTCTTCTAAGAAAAACAACTTACTTGTCCATTACTGAGCACAGAATAAGCTTTATATCTTATGAAGCTTAAGTTGTAAATATTAATATAAAATGTACACCCTCTTCAGCAATATTGTAATGGCTATGTATGGTGCCAGGTAAGTAACAGAAATATTAGAGAAAACACTTTGTGAAGTATATGATTATATAACCACTATGCTATACACCTGAAATTAATACAAAATGGCATTAAATGTAAACTATAATTGAAAAATAAAATTTAAAAAATATACTCTCTTTATGAAAGAACTAAGTGCTAGTAAATAACATTAAATAAATATAAAATCAGTACTGGTACAATATGATTTACTGTATTATTATACATTTGTATTTCAGATGCCTTTGGTACTTTACGAAGAATATTTCCAGATACATCACAGACATTAAGCTTTTGCCTCCTGGCATAAAAGATAGACTGATACGAATAATGAGTGTGAAGGGGCAGATAACAGATTCAAATATAAGTGAGGTAAGAGTATGTACAACTATAAAGCAAGCATTTTATATTTTACAATTTGGATATGGTTTCAGGTTTCTGGAGCAATGGTATATAGTAGATTAGTAATAACTTTAAAATATAATAAAGCATCAGGGTTCTCATTTTCTACAGATAACCAAAATGTTCATGTGTAATAATTCCTAAAAAAATCTTCCCTTACCATTTTTTCAGTTACTTCCCTTGTCTTCATAGGACCAGCACCCTTGATCTGCACATTTTCAAAAAGTTTTAAACTTGTTGATCAATTGTACCTCAGTAAAGCTGGAAAAAGTAAAAAATTAAATGCAGGGTTAATAAACAAATGGCACCAAAAAAAGACCTATGATAAGAAATATATGTTACATTGTGACTCTAGTACACAAACCACAGTTATCTGTAACAATACAGCAGATTCTGGAATAACATCATTTTGTTGTAACATTGATGAGATGCCACAGGCACTTAACTCTTATTTTTATCAATTAGCCTATGGTAAAATTGATTTCAGTAGATGTCATTTGGCTTAAAGTCACCAAACCTATCAATGACGTTAAGTGAGGACTCACTATACTATATGCAGTGCACTTGGATATTCTCTATTTTATTCTCTTATGTCTTATTTCCTCTTAAAATGTTGATCATAGCCTACAAAATTAATTTTATCCACACATGGATAACAATCAACAGTTTAAGAAATCACCCTTTTAAACTTCTCATTCCTCTTCTGGTTATCTAACTCCTACTAATTTATACTTACTCCTTCCATACTAAGCTAAAATTAGCTATTCTTTAAGGCAGTAAACATAATTTGAGTCTCCAACATGAATAAAATCCTAGCTTTGCCACACTTTCTGACATTGAGCCTCAGGTTGGTTTTGGTTTTTGTTTTTTGTCTTTTAAAGAGAACTTTACTTTTATTATTATTGTTTTTAAAAAGAAGAAAAGAAAAGGAGAAGAAAGAAAGGAAGCAGAAAAGATTCAAAACAGGAAAGATACTGGAAAAAAAGTTCCTTTCTCCAACCCGCATCCCTAAGACACAGTTTTCCTAAGTCCCTTGTGAGTGTGTATGTATGCATGCGCATATGTGCACACTGTGTGTGTGTATGTGGGAGGGGACAGGCCACTCACACCATGATGGCATCCATGAGAAGGTCCAGTTGCTGTTGTCACTGTCCTGCTTTCTCTGTAGGGCTCCAGCTTCACCTGCTGTCATGTAGGGGGGTGTGTGTATGTGTGGTGCATGAGAGTCTCTGGGGTTGTAGCTCTCGTCAGTGTCTACAGAGACTAGGCCTACAGCAGTTTCCCCTCTCTGCAGGGCATACATTCCAAGTCTCCCAGTGGATGTCTGAAACTGTGGATAGTACTGAACCCTATATATACTATGTTTTTTCTTACACGTACATACCTTTTCACTTAAAGGAAGCACTTTACAGCTTCTCTTTCGTATATCTGAATTGCCAGCATCACTACCCTTGTGCTTTGGGGCCATTATTATATAAAATAAGGTTTACTTGAACACAAGCACCACAACCCTATGACAGTCAACCTGATCACCGATATGGCTACTACGTGAATAATGTGCAGGTAGTGTATACAGTGTGAATACACTTGACAAAGGGATGCTTCACATCCTGGGCAGGATGGAGTAGGACAGTGCAAGATGTCATGATGTCACTTAGGATGGTGCACAATTTAAAACTTGCAAATTCTTTATTTCTAGAATTTTCCATTTAATATTTTTTGGACCATGGTTGACCATGGGTACCTGAAACTATGGAAAATGAAACCACAGATAAGGGAGGACTACTGTACTCATTGCTGTTTTTACCACACATTCTCCCCAAAGCCCGTGATCAAAAGGAAGCAAACTCGGATGACGGCACTCCAGCATATGACCATCCCAGTGACCTTCACATTGTAATTGTGCTTCAGTGTATCTTGGCATTCCTTCTAACATTAACCTTTAATGCTTATTTTCTTCATGGTAGCTTGCATTTGAACATACACATTTCAGTGTTGTAATCTGCTGTATAAGTTATGCGTAGCTACCAGAGGAAATATTATGACACTACAGAAACTGGTGAGTTTCTTCTCTTCCCCACCATCCTCATTTCATTCTGTCCTTTTAGAGCAGCAATTTTCAGTTTTTTTCACTTCATGGCACACATAAACTAATTACTAAAATTCTGCAACACACCAAAAAACATTCTTTGCAAATCTGACAAAAATCTGACTGGATGGTTATTGTATTGACTGTTGTCATGTTTAAATTTGACAAAGTAAGGAAAAGAGGTCAGTACCCCTGACTAAATAGTCAGGTATTGCATGTTTTAAAAGTTCTTATGTCATACCAGTGTGCCTCTTGCAGCACACCAGTTGAAAATAGCTGCTTTAGTCTATATTTCAGTACCTTAAATTTTTGTTTTATGGCAATCTTTAATCTTCATTTAAACCTAATTTTACCTGAATAAAAACTGGCTAAGGGGATGAATGAGAGAAAAAAAAACAAAAGTATGATTTTCCTTGGCACTCTCCCTCTAGTCCCCATCCTTGCAAGAGCCCTGCTTATGAAACCAAGTCCAACTTCTGTTGCAAAGTTGCACACATCTTTGGATGGCTCTTTTTGAAATATTTCCTAAATCTTTTTATAGTCTGTGGATGGAGAAGACCTTTTTTAATGGCACTATGAAAGGAAAACAGCAAAATGGAGTTGGTATTGTCAAGACAACAATCTAAAATGGAGCCAGGAGGCCTTCAGAAAGCCGAACTAACACAGCCACTCCGTATGAAGTTGAATTTTTGGAGTGGGCTAAACCACAAATGACTACACCTTGTTACAGTTCCTGGAACTGGCTCTGCATCACTGAACTCTATTAAAAAATAAAATTTTCACCTACCAATAGACAAAGCAACAATCACATATAGGTAGCACAGTGTAAGTCTGCTTAACAGCACCACTCACAGCTCTTAAATCAACTTGCATAACCCCTCTGGCAGTGGCCCTCTTTCTGTCTTTATAAACGCTCTTTCTTTGCCCCTTAAAACACAGTTGGATTTCTACCCAAATCTGTAGCCTCTGAACTGCAATTCCTAAGGATCCCAAATAAAACTTCTTTTTACTTTGCAGTTCTTGGTCAAAGTTAATTGACAACACCAAAATTAGAAACCAAGAAGATAAAGATTGATGTGTTTAATTACATTAAAATATGAGCTTCTTTATGGCAAGAAGAAAAAATAAGCAGTCAAGTAATTAGGAAAAATATGCGATACAGATGAAATTCTATGGGTTTTTTTCTTAACAATATAAAGAATCCCCACAAACCAATAGGAAAAATCAAAACAAACAAATACTAAAATAGAAGAATCAGAAAATACTCAAAGTAAAGAAATATAAATTATAAGGAACATGTATCTCAATAAAAGTATATTTAACGTTATTAGAAATAAAAGTCAGAATCATGATCATGATACAGAGAGCATTTTGATGGTTGCCAGATGGGAAGCGGGTGTAGGGGAATCAGTGAAGAGGTGAGGGGATTAAGAAGTATAAATAGGTAGTTGCAGAATAGCCATGGGGATGTAAAGTACAGTACAGGAAATGGAGTAGCCAAAGAACTTACACACATGACCCATGACCATGAACAATGGTGGGGGGATTGCCTGATAGAGTAGGGGGTGCTCAGTGGAGAGGGGCAAAGGAGGAAAAATTGAGACAACTGTAATAGCATAATCAATAAATATAATAAAAAAAGAAAGAAAAGTCCTAGTTTGTCTTTCAGTTTGTGAGAGACTTAAAAAATTATAATAGCTAGTGTTGGCAATAGTGTGTGGAACTATCACTTTTATCCTCTGCTGATGAGAGTGGAAACTGATAAAAAGCCTTTTAGGAGGACAGTTTGGCACTATCAAAAGTCCTAAAATTTTGCTTACCATTGACTCAACAATTTTACTTCTGGTATTTTTTTCCAGTTTTATTGAGATATAATTGACATATGACATTGAATAAGTTTCAAGTGTTAAACACACATGATTATTTGATATACTCCTTTATTGCAAAATGATTACCACAGTAGGATTAGTTAGCATCTCTGTCACCTCATATAATTAACATTTACTTCTGATATTATCTCAAGAAAATAATTGGGAAAGCACACAAGCATGGTCATCATAATGTCATTTACAATAGTACAAATAATTGACAGTTATATGCAGCATATATTATAAACAAGGTACCTTTATTTCTAACAAAATATTATCCCTGTTTAATGATGACAATAGTGAGGCACAAAAAAACCCAGAGCTTTATCACACTCATTATGTTTATTTAAAAAATTTTTTCATAGTATTTAAACTCAGTCTGCCTCCAAAGTACATGTTCTTAATCACTGTACCTACCATATCACCTCCTAAATCAGCCTAAATGTTCAGCCTAAGTGTTTGCCAGTGTAAGATGCATTTAATAAGTTATGGAATAGTATGCAACCACAATTATTTTTGTGAAATTTACTCATAAGTATATACATGATCTAATCTCATTTTTCTTCAAAAGCCTTTTTTTTCTTCAAAAAAATCAAAACTGGCATGTTTTTCTTTGGGTATTGGTGTTATGGGTAACTTTAGTTATAGTGGTTAAAAGAATGGACTTTAAAATTAGAAAAACCTGATTTCCAAACCTAGCTCTGCTCTTTTTTCGGTTCTGTCGTTTGTGTTGCTGTTTAAGCTGTGGATGCCTTTAAGCTGTGGTTGCTGTGGATGCCTCAACTCTTTCATTAAATGGCAATGACCAGTCTCTCAAGTGTGTGTGTATGTGTGCTTGTATGTGAGAGAAAGAATATTAAATGACAACGTATACAGCATACTCAGTACCTTTCCTGGTAAGTACCCAATAAATAGAAATAGTTATTCTTATCATTTGTACAATTTTTCTAAATTGAAGCCCTGGCCCCGTAGCTCAAATGGTTAGAACGTCATCCCAATACGCCAGGTTGCAGATTCAGTCTCCAGTCAGGGCACATAGGAGAATCAACCAATGAATGCATAAATAAGTGGAACAACAAACTGATCTCTCTCTTTCTGTCTCTCCCTCCCTCCCTCTCTCCCCCCTTCCTCTATCTCTCTCCTCAATTTCTCTAAAAATTAATAAGTTAAAATTTTAATATAAATAAATTGGCTGAATATTTCACAATAACAGTACATTACTCGTATTCAGAAAAGTCAAGCCATTTTTCTATTTTGGAAAAAAAGAAAAGAAAAACGATCTCAGAGGGAGAGCTCAGAATGCTTTGAAATTGATCTGTTATTTGTTGCCCTCAAGTGAATAGTCAATAATACTGGATTTGTTTGTACTAGGTCCCAAAAATAAGAATGAAGGAGGTAAATGATAATACTACTGCTCTATAAGCATTTGGTATGTAAGGAGGTGCATAGCTAGAATCTCTAATAATAGGCAGGGACTACTTACTGGGAGAGAAGAAGCACCTCTATCACACTGATTCTGCTTTTCAGGTCTAGTGGGACTTTACTATATACCCAGCTGTATGTTTTCAACAGTGCTATTTGTTCCAATAAAGACATTAGAGGCACTAGAAGATGCATCTCCAGTGGGAAATAGCCTTGCTTTTCTTGATCTATGTATCTATCTCCACACAGACATGTTTCTGATTTTTGCTGTATTTTCCATCCTCCAGTGGTCTGTTATGACCACCAAAACATTTATATTTATAGGAAGAACTCATTTTTAAAAATCATATATTTATTACAGATTTTACATCCTGAAGTCCAAACTCTCTATCTACAGACCTGTGATATTTCGGATACTGCTCTCCTGCACCTGTGTAACTGCAGAAAACTGAAGGAATTAAATTTAAATTCCTCAAAAGAAAACAGAGTTTCTATAACCTCAGAAGGTATGTTTATTATGAATTTGTAGATTACTATTCACCATCTGGCATAATTTAAGAGAAAAAAAGGGGAAAGTATGTAAAAAAAAAAGTATGAAAATGTCAAAGAAATAGAAACTATAATCACCAACACAAATATTCAAACTAAGATAAAGAATCCAAATTAGAATTCTTGCTTATAACCAGTGCTGAAAGTTAAGAAACACACTGGGTATGTCACTCTCCTGTATCTTAAACATATTTAAAGTAAACATGGATGGATACCTCTATGTTTTCAATATTTTGCCTGATACAGTGAAATAAGAAAGGACCAGTTCATACCCTAAGGCTTTGGGGATCTAAACAACAGAAAGCTAAGTTATCATCAGATTAAATTTACCACTCTCCTATCAGACTGTCTAGTGCTAGCCAAACAACTGTATTTTTCAGTGTGATTAATGCATAAATTAGTGGACTTTTACCTTTTTTTCAAAATAAGATTTTTTTTTACCTTTTTCTTTAAGAAAGGACTTATTTAGCTAAGCTTCTAGAAAATTTTGTGGGTCATTGGTTATATTTTGCAATCATTTTGGTTAGCAAGTTAGGATTCTCACAATATTGCAAAGAATCGTTAAATTTTTAAATGTTTACACAAATAATGACTCACTGAAAAGAATTTTCATTCTGTACAGTGATGAAATTTTAAAAAGTTCTTTCTTAAACTATGAAACAATAAAAATTACCTACACATAAATTTGCCGCCTTCTATTTTGTGTATTTTGTCCGTAAATGTATCTTTTCACAGTAGACTGGAGGGCCTATGATCCTGAAGTACTCTTATTTTTGTAACATATTCTCATTTACCAGTCTCCCAATATGCATTTGTATCAGTTTAATTCGATTTAAGGACCTCTTTCTTTTTGACCCTCAGTAAGATTGGTCCAGGCTAAGAGAAAAGGAACATGGTGATAGAAAGGGGCAGAGTGAAAGACGGAAGAGAGGGTGCAGAGACAGGCAGCATTCCTGAGGATAAGCATGGGAGCGTTATTTAAGACGTTTGGGCAATTTAACTTTGGTGTGTATTCAGAGGTGACAAGAACATTGACTTTATTACTTTAAAACTTTTGACAAAAAGGAGAATCACTTACTATTTAATTACCTAATATAGTTCTGAATGATTTGGCTATGTCCTAAAAGGAAATCTCTCAACTCATAAACAATAAGGGCTGACCATTAATGGCAGTTATTCTGAAAAATATATTACAGATTGTATAGAAAATTTCTGAAACATTCCAAATACTTTTAAATAATGATAGCATCACTGGATAGGTGTATCCTCACAGGTGGACTACTTTGAAAAGGGCTATCATACAAGTAGATGTATCATTGTCAGTACTGGTGATTGCTTAAATGAAAATCAGTCATGTTTTCATATATATACATTTATAGCTCATTGATACATAATTATGTTTTCCCCCAGGAATAAAAGCTGTGGCTTCATCTTGTTCATACCTTTATGAGGCTCGTCTGAAAAGATGCTGCAACCTCACTGATGAAGGAGTCCTTGCCCTTGCACGCAATTGCCGGCTGCTAAAGATCATTGATTTAGGTGGCTGCTTACGTATTACTGATGTGTCCTTACATGCATTAGGAGAAAACTGCTTATTTTTGCAATATGTTGGCATTTCAGCCACTCAGGTAAATGAAATATAGACTTGTAATAAAGAGACTGTATGTGTTTGCCCAATATATTTTCAATGACTCATTAAAAGAACATGATTACTTTTATTAAAATTGTTGAGTACTTCATACTTTGGTAGTTAAATAATTGCAGTGTAACTTGGACATTCTGCTCAATTTTTTAAAGTAAGGGCGGAAGGTATATATGGCTAAAACACATTTGGAGGCAATAAAGCTATATCTAAATGATTAATAATTTTTAGAAAATTTTACCTCCATCATATCCATTTATGTGCTGTGTTGCTTTTTCCCTTTGCTTAGGTATCTGACAATGGTGTGGTTGCGCTTGTTAGTGGACCTTGTGCCAAGAAATTAGAGGTAATTTAAAAATATCTATAAAAATGATGCTAACTACATTTTTATATTATCTTCAGAAATTATATTTTAAACCCAGCAGACAACGAGTGCCTTATTATCAGTTAGGTATTTCCATAGATTTTTTTTGTATCTACCTCTTTATTCCCAGAGTAAATAAAAACTGGTAAATTAGGAGATAAGGTATGCTTTAAAATAAAAACCCATTTTACTTTCCAGAAGTTTCAGCTTCTAACATGTTTAAGGATAGTTCTATTTTGGATGACGTTTGAGAATTTATCAATGTGAAGTAATATTCTTTAGGTTTCATGTCTGACTGATATTTCTACCAGGACTACTTACTCTCTTGTCATTATATTTTCCGGACCTATGAAGGCGCCCATAAAGGATACCACTATGGCATTAAAATTATTTTTAGCTGAAAATTTTTTAGAATCAAGCCATGCAAAAAGAAGTTTTGTCTGAACTACCATTCTCGCCCCATCTACCTAAAAGCAGAGCCTTCCAAATAATTCACTTGCCATCAAATCCCCTTGAAGGAAAACTTCCCATAGAGGAAAGATCAGTCCTATCACTGGAGAAGTCAGATGAGAAGTCGCATAAACAAAAATTGTCCCAAGACTATCATACATTCCATCTACTCTCCTGAAAGTCCATTTTGTCTTTCTCAAAAGTCATTTGTTTTTCTCTAAGTGTTCTTTATCCCTGTACCCTTCCCCTATTAAGACGGTATATAAACTCTAAATTCTAGCCATTTTTTAAATCATTTTCTCTGTAAGCATGCAGACAAATACACTTTCTCTTTTTTTCTTTTTCTTGCTAATCTGTATTTGTCATTTTAATATGCAAGACTCCAAAGACAGAACATAAGAGGATAAAGAAAAGGTTTTTTCCTCCCCAGTAGCCACATTGTACAATCATTTAAAAAGATCTTAGATTAGTGTTCATTCTTTAAATTCAATAATGTGTTTCAGAATATATTTATATCCCTGGCCAGGTAGCTCAGTTGGTTAGAGCATCATCTAGATACACCTAGATTGTGAGTTTGATGCCCACTCTTGGGCACAAACAAGAATCAACCAATGAATGAATGTATAAATGGAACAACAAATTGATGTTTCCCTCTCTTTCTCCCCTCCCCCCCAAGTAAATTAAAAATATGTGTATTTTAGAAGCCTTTTGTCCTAGGATTTGGAGTTCTTCTTTTCCAGTTTATAGCCTTTTTTTAAATTTATTTTTTCATTTTTTAAATCCTTATCAGAGGAAATGTTTTTATTGATTTTAGAGAAAGAGGAAGATAGGGGGAGAGAGAGAGAAAGATCAATGTGAGAGAAGCATCAGTTGGTTGCCTCCTATACATGCCCACCACCTTCTGGTGTACGAGATGACACTCCAACCAGTGGAGCCACCCGGCCAGGGCGTTGTTGCTGGTATCTTTTCACTCTCATGTTTAATATGGCTGTGCTTGTCAATAATAAGTCGCATCAAATTTTTTTTGGAAGTAAACATGCTATAAGAGAATTGTAAATGTTAGTAATAACTATTTTAATAGAACTGCAGTAACATGGTTTTGCCAAACTATTTCCCCATGAGTTAATGCCCAAATAGATTATTTTTTGTGATATTTTACATATCTGCATCCTGCTTATATGCATCTGTGTGTATATAAAAAAATATAACCTATTTATTTTTTACAATCTTTTGATTGAGAAATTACCATCTTTTTCTTATGCCAGGTTCCAAATTCTAAATTGTATGCTGACGGTAGGGGCAATAAACTCTGCCATAATTTTCACTGTTTTAAATACTAACATTGTTGAACACCTAACTACTTTTCAGCGTTCGTGCTCCTGCCTTATATTTATTAGGTTATTTAATTCTAAGAACAACATTATCTTATAATCACCATCATTTTAAATAAAGTTCTCAAACAATTAACCTAGTTCGTCACTTTCTAATAAAACCACCAGGAAATTAGTTGTTATACAGTATAGGAAATATATCTATTTACTTTAGCATGACAAATTGGAGCACCAACCTAAGCAGACATAGGAAAAAATCTAGAAACAAATAAGTGTTGACACTTACAGTGCTATATCACTGCGGTTTTCATTTTTCCAAAATTTACTGCTATAAGTGCTTAAATGGAAAACTATCTAAAATTTGTTAAAATTTAATTCCTTCCTTAAACAAAGTATATAGAATGAATATACTTTGACCTTTGGCTCACAGCATATTTGTGCTCACAGTTTCTAAGAAACAGAAATACAAACTCAACCAATTCTTCTCTTGTGGGTGATATGTATGCCTACCTTTTATCAGATGCCCTGTTTCAATCTGTGGCTTTTAATTTGTTTTAGTCTGAGAAATTAAATTATCCATCTTGCTAAGTTGTTTATAACTTGAAAATAAATTTGATTCAAAGTTTAAGGACATTTCCTAAAGATTGACAAAGGGTACAAACTTATATTACAGCATTTATTCAATGTCATAAATATTTCTGAAATGTCTATCTGAGTTCCTAGTTAGCAGGGACCATTTTGTCACCATTTTATTTCTAGGTTTTACTGTAATTATAGACGCATGTACTCAATAAATGTTCTCATATTCTTATATTGTACTCATTTTATAACTTTCTATAATCTTCATGATTAAGAGTTTAACTTGTTGTACAAAATATTCATGTAGTCAACAAATATTTATTAGGTACCTGCTATGTTCTAGGCACTGGCATATTAGAGAACAAAATCTGTTTATATAATGTATCATTCTTTTTTTAAATCATTTTCCTCTTGATAATTCAGATTATTTACAGTTTTTAACTGTTAGAAATAGCCATATGTTGAGGCATATCACTTTTTTCTTCCATTGCTATAACAAACTCCCCAAAATGGAACAAGTAGGTCCATGAATTTGAATACTGTTTTAATGGTCCTAAATTCATATTGCTAAATTATTTCCCACAAAGGTTATGTGGTAAATTCATAATTTTTGCCAGGACCTCAATATGCCACATAGATTTTTCTTTTTTAAAAAAACCTTAATTTAATATATTTTAAATGGAACCTGAGTCAAACACTGTTCCATCTGTTGTTCTCAAATTATATTTGTCTGTAGCCTTTGCCAATTTATAACATAGGATACTTTTTGCCTCAATTTTTATGAGTTTTTCAATATACTCAGATTTTCTTTATTTCTAAGATATTATTAATTATAATATATACACCAACTTAATATCAACTTTTCAGGAGAAAAGAAATAGCAATACCATAAACATACCCAGCAGCTATTAGCTGAATCTTCCAGAATTGTAAAAATTTTTTTACAATTATGGTCAAATATACATAATCATCTTTTGATATATGTTTCCACCTTTTGGCTACTGTGAATACCTCTGCTATGAACACAGGTATGCAAATATTTGTTTAAGTCCCTGTTTTCAACTCTTTTGAGTGTGTACCTAGAAGTGAAAAAGCTAGATCATGTAGGAATTCTATATTTAATTGTTTGAAGGACCGCCATACTGTTTCCACAGCAGCTGTACCATTTTATATTCTCACCAGCAAAGCAAAAGGGTTCCAAATTAGAGCATCAAACAAAGCATATATAATATTTCAAACTTATGGAAAAGTATGGAAAGTAATATAACAGAGACCTGTAGGCCATTCACTTGAATTTTAACATTTTCATTTATTTAAGTTTTTCAAAAAGTTGTGTATTATATCTAAAGCTCCTCCCTCACGTTTCCCCCTTACTTCCTTCAGAGCTAATCACTATTTTAAAGGTGCCCATGTATCTTTTCTTGTGAGTCTGAGTACTTCATCTTTCTCTCTGTAGTATTATTTCATAATTTTACATAATAGTTTCATAATGTATGTGTTTACAGTTTGTTTTTTAAAAAAATATTTTAATTATTTTTATAGAGAGAGAGGAGGGGAGGAATAAAGAAAGGGAGAGAAACATTGATCAGTTGCCTGTCACACACCCCCAAGCAGGGACCTGGCCCACAACCCAGGCACGTCCTGGCCAGGAAATAAACCAGCAACCTTTTGGTGCACAGGCTGGTGCTCAACCCACTGAGCCACACCAGCCAAGGCTACATTTTGCTTTTTTATTCAAAATTGTTTTTAAATTTTCCAAGATTTATTGAGGTATAATTTACATACAATAAAATTTACCCATTTTAAACATACAATTTGATGAATTTTGGCAATTGTTAAACAGCCTTAGAACCACCAACATATTAAGATTAGACCATTTCCATCACCCTGAAAAGTTTTCTCTCCTACCTTTGTAGTCTGTCCCCTGCCATGGCCCTCCCCACAAGCACATTGATTTACTTTGTCCTTATAGTTTTGCCTTTTCTAGAATTTTATATAAATGGAATCATGCAGTATATTGTCTTTTGGGTTTTTTATGCTCTTCTTTTACTTCTTTTACTTAGCATAATGTTTTTTGAGATTTACCCATGTTGATGCATGCATTAATATTTCATTCCTCTTTTTTTTTTTTCTGAACAGTATTCTGTAGTCTGGCTACGACACAATTTGTTCCTACATTGACCATTTGATGGACATTTGGGTTGTTCCAGTTTGGACCATTATAAACATTGCTGTAGACATTTGCATACAAGTCTTTATGTATACATGTTTTTATTTGTCTTGGATAAACACCTGGGAATGAAATTGCTGAATCATACAGTACATACATGTTTATCTTTAGAAGATATTACCATACTGTTTTCCAAAGAATTTGAGCTAACACTGTATTTGAGGTTTATGTCTATTTATACAAGTAGGTATTTTTCATCTTAACTTTTAATCTTATTCTATTATATGAATGAACCAGCATTTATTTACCTACTTTACTATTACAAATAATATTGCAGTTGGCATATTTATAAATTGTTTTCTTACAGTCATACAGGAGTTTCTTTCTAAATAATGGTCATCTGTAGTAGGAATTGCTGAGTTCTAAGGTACACTCATCTTCAGCTTTAATAGATATTGCCAAATGACTTCATAAAATGGCTAGACATTTAACTTATAAAGCTGCTATAACTTCCAAATTACTGCAGACTTACATTGGTCCTTTCTATAGAGTTTTTCTTTTGTATCAGAGTATTTCTCAAACTTTTTCAAACTGTTACTATAAACCTATTTTTTCTTTTCATTTTTTAAATAGGAGATTCATATGGAACATTGTGTGAATCTGACGGATGAGTCTATAGAAGCTGTCATTACTCGCTGTCCTCAGATACGCATATTACTGTTTCATGGATGTCCCCTGTTAACAGGTCAGTATAAGAGACTGCCTGGGCTCAAATCCTGGTTTTATCTTTTAATAATTGTGTGCTCTTGAATAAATTATTTCACCCATTTCATTATTCAGTTTCTTTATCTGTAACATGGGTATAACAATAGTATTTACCCCATAAACTTGGTCACAGTGATTATCTGACAACACTATATGTGGTACCAAATACATAGTAAGGGCTCAGTAAATGTTAACTGTGGTGGTGGCAGTGATGGTAAGCATTAATAAATGTTAACTATGATGAGGATGATGATGGTGGCAGTGCTAGTGGTCGTGATACTAAACACAATGCTTTAGTAGACAATGAAAAGTTTCTATTATTACATTTATCAAAAATGCTAAGTGACCTGTTATATATAATCTCATCAAGCTGTAGCCATTGAGATTCAGAATAATTTGGAATGTGATACTTCACTGAAGGAGAACAAAGTAGTCACAACCCATTCGGCCTGTATAACTGCCATGTTACCACCATGGTCCCCAAACCACAGTGCCTCACCCGTTTTGTATTACACCCACCCATGCCAGCGTATAGCCTGGATAGAGGCATTGGGCGCGCTGTGCTGAGGGGTTGTGGGGGACAGGGAGTGCTGTCACAGGGAGCGCGACGCCCCAGGATCTGAGGGTTACTGTCCGGGGCCAGCTGGGATGGGAGCTGGGACTCTGAATCCCGCACAGCCCGTCAGGGGGGTGGTGTCACGGATCGGGGAATAAACACAAGTCATCACAAACACTTCTCCATATGCCAGGAGAGGGGACATGGCACATCCCTCTGGTGGGGAAGGCCCCTTTGTTCAAAGGCTTTTATTGGAAGGGTTATCAGTGGGGCTAGATAACAGGAATGCACAGGTTCTCATTACATCAGTATGTTAATGTTTACAGAGAATGGGCGATGTTTTGAAGAAAACAAATGGCAGGAACACAGTGATTTACATGGGTCCGAGAAGAGACTAGTAAACAAGAGAGATGACTAAACATGAGAGCATAGTGAAAATAAGAGTATCTAGGGGTCTAGAGTTAGGGTCTGTGAATAATGTAAATTTCCTTCCCAGCATGAGCTGGCTATAGCTTCTGAGGGAAAAACAAAGAATACTTTATAAAGAATTTACTTTTAGGCCTGATTTCCCTGGGAACTGCCAGATCTGGTTTAGGGCTGCCTCCAGTATTGTTTCTAGCCTGAGCTAGGCAAGGGGAGGGAGCTGCCGAGAGACAAGGAGACTTCTTTCAGATAGAGTGAGGACTCTGGCCATGTCCAAGCCGAGCCAAGAGATGTGAGCCTTTTTGCCCTTTCTCCGTGTCCCCCAATTTCTTGTCTGCTTCCCATACCAGTCGATCCTTAGGTTTAGGTTGTTATCTCATCATGGAAAAACTTACCCGTCATCAACAAGCGACCATCACAGGGCCAAGCAGAGAGGCAGAGGCTATGCCTCTACAGGGGGAGCAGGTTATGTCTCCTCAGGGGCCTGTTTCTCCAAGGCCTCCCTGATTATTTTCAGCCTTGGGGCCCTCCCACCTGTTGGCAGAGTTACAGTTCCTGAGACCAGACAGGGCATTTCCTAACACTGGATCTCACTGTAAACCCAGTCCTTCTAGCCCATTTTTCGAATTAGCCTCAACAGTTACTCTCTAGATTGAGTTACTATCCTAGAAGTCCTTTTGACAACTTCTATTCTGGTGGTGTTGTTGTTTGGACTGCCAATCTAAACCAAGCCTGTAATGGATTATATTTGGTTATCCGTGACATCTATAACAAGGACTAAATCTTATTTTAGACAAAACAGTTCTCAAAAAACTGAAGCCAAAAGGTATATTAGAACCTGTTAGCAGTGGCTACTTCTGGGGAAAGTTGTAAAGAAACAAGAGTTGGAAAAAATCTTCATTACATATACCCTTTTCTACCTTTTGAATTTTGTGTCATGTGAATGATATATCCTATTAAAAATTCATAGTAATTTTAAGAATATAATTGAGAACCAAAAATACTCCTAGGACTGACTGTGCACAGGGGAATGGCACATGTGCACACTACTCTGGGAATGTGAGAAGGCAAAAAAAGGCTCTCTGGTCATCAAACAAGGCAGGAAAGTATATTCTAATAAGTAGGCTGTTGTTGTAAGGCAGAGGAGACCACGATATGGGAAATGTAATAACAGCAACCTTTGATTAGAGATCTTTTCAAAATACCAATTACAAGTGTGTAAATGTACCCACTGAGCTATGTGCACATTTCATCAACACATTAAACAAGCAGGTGGTACTCATAAAGTGATTCTATTTTCCTCACACCACTTTAATTACAGATCTGCTCTAAAGGGACTAATTTTTCCCAAAGCCAGATGAAATATCAGACATGTGCCATTGACTTAGCATTCTTGGATAGTTAAAAATCTTATCATTTTATAAACTGAAAACCTCTCATTTCAGTAATTAAAATGTCTTAGGACCATGTAATGCTCCAAACAAGTTCAAGTTAAAACTTTCTGCTCCAGGTTTGCTGTAGGTGGACAGGCTGCAATGAGTGAGGGGCATGGTTCGCTTCTGTGTTTTACCATTTCATGCTTCTCTTCCTTCCCCAGCTTGCCCAGCATAGTTTCTGGCCCCACCCGTATCAGTACATGGCGGGACTGGGGTAAGCAGGAGGGTAGATAAGGGAAAGAAAAAGACTTACTTGGCCACTACTTCTGTGATCTAGTGTCAGCACTCTCGGCTCTGTGGCTGAGCTGATCCTGATCCATGCTCTCCCAAATGTGGGACATTTTTAGGTTCTTCAGAGCCCACGCCCTACCTCCCCCCTCATCGTTGCCCATCTTCCTGTCTGCAGGTCTCTTGATCCAAGCACATGTGTGTCTTCTGGCTAGTGGCTGGCATTTTCTTCCTCTGCCCCCAGGCAACTGAAAATGCACCCTCAGTCTCTTTTAGTTGAGGTTTCCTAACCTATCCAGGCTGTTTTGCGAGGGCCCAAGACAGGCTGCCCCCAAAATATCCCACAATAGCATACTGATTACTTTAGGGTTACTTGCTAAGCAGCCAGGGCCAGAAGGGCACCTTGACCACCCCCCTTCTTTTCTCCTTGAGTGCAGGAAATAAATCTCCTCTGTGAAAGCTGTCCTCCCTGCTCCAGGATGGCAGAGAGAGCTAACTTTATCACTAGACTAAAGAGACCCAGGGCCAGAGAGCTTCTATAAACACTTTATTAATTTACTACTTCATCCTGAACTTTGTTTAGATTCCTCACTAATGAATACCCAAACCTTTCTTGGATTCCTTCCAAATGAGCTCTATTTTTTTTTTCCCTGTTAGTTCTTTGCAAGTTTATTGTTTGTTTGTCTAAAAAGAATGAAAAGGTGCTTGGCTCAGTAATTCTTTGAGCCTCATTTCATAATCTGAATAACATACTGTGATTCTCCAGTGAGCAAGTACTAAATTGGTTTTTCTCCTTTTAATGTACTCTTATGTCACTTTCAGTATTTTATTACTAATTCAGCCATAAAAACTATAAAAGTTTACAGGGAGAATTCTCCCTCTCCCTGACACTTTCATGAGCAAGATAAAAGGCAGCCTCCTGCTGGCCCAATCTGTGTACACAGGAAACATATACTTTAGACAATAAGAGTGCAGGTATTTCCCAACTTCAGTCCTCTTTTTAGCTTCATGGGCTCTTTGCCATAGCCTTCTGTCTTTTAGTTTTCTTAGGTGTGGGTCTGATACTAGTGTTCTCTGTCTCCAAGCTCCAAGGGACATATTAGTGTACTGTGTCCCCCACAGTCTCCAACTGATCTCTTTAGAGCCCCTTCTCACCAGGCTTAAGCGGAAGAGCAAGCACCTTCAGCCCTCTTTTTAGAACTCAAATCATAGCTGTCTTCAAAGAAATCCTTTCTTCAATTTACAACTCTCCATCCTTCCCTACTTTAACACTTTTTTATCTTTGAATGGATGAGACACCATGGATTCCAAAATCAGCTTTCAGCCAAGCATCTTCAAGTCCTGTATAGGTGATCTGGTATTTTGGAGTGAGAGAGTAGCCAGTAGCTCTAGTCCTGAAACATTAGCTGAGATAGTTCTATTTTAATGTTCTGTTATATTTGTCACAGGACAACTTGGCCATACAATATGTTATAAAATCAACTTTTGCTAATTTTATCATGATTATCTTTATGGTTACCATTTGGAAACAGTTAAATTGGCATTTTCCCTCCACTTTCAATAAAAATCAAATCAGCAAAAATGTATATAGTCAACCAAGAAAACTTATCCTTAGACAAACTGCTTAAAGAATGATCAAAGACCTTAATGGGCAATGAAATCTTTAGAAGGTACAGTGAAAACTTATTTGAGTACACCAAGAACAATATTAAAATTCTTAAATGTGCCCATATTAATATATAAATGATTGACAAATACCAATTTTCAAGCCTGGAAAATATGTTCCAGTGATTAATCTGATTTTTAAACCAGGAGTCTTTTGAGATAAATTACGTAAGTATTAAGATCATTGGTAACCAAAGATATATTATCAGTTGGTGAATTCAAGAGAAATGCCTAGCTAGTATAATTCCAGACATTAGAAAAGCTTAACTGCAATAAATTATTCCCCATTCACATGACTCCAAATACTAAATTTACCAATTCAACTTTAAGATCCTAAAGGACAGGGATAATGCCAGGTAATTCTTTCCTTATCATTTTTTTGTCTTCCATATCTAGCAGTGTTATACATATAGATACCAATAAATATGTATAATTCTAGATTACAAAAGTAAAATTAATTATATTCTTCTATTCAATATAGCTGGTACTTTATTGAGACATTAAAATGGGAATTTCAATTAAGGCAATAAAATGCAGTAAGTATAAAATTCAAAAGTGAGAAAAATGCCAGAGATGCCAATTTTCAAAAGAAATATCTGAGAACCCATTTCACAACCCTGGAAACCCATCATCCACAAAAAGGTTTTAAAGGGTTGAAATGATGATAATTAA